TTTTGCCACATGTTTGTTCCCAACCAAAGCTTGATGGTGGTTCCAGTGGTTCCTGTTGGAAGATGTTTTGATTGCCCGCTTTTACCACGAGCTGTAGTCATTTGCATTCAAACATGTGGGAAGTGACTACTTTAAGTAATACAAATCGGGGTCGAAGGCAAAGAAGTTAAACCATGAGGGGATGCCGAGTTTTCAAATGGAGAATCGGTTTTGTCGCGCGTGCAGTTGACGTTGACGTGGAATATTTTCTTGTGCAAACAGGCTGGCATCCTCCTGGCCGTGGCCTTCCCGGTGCTCATTGCAGGCTCTCCTTGACCCTTGTGCAAACTCGGGTTACCTTGGGGTCCAAGAAAAGAGAAAGGCGAAAAGGCAAGAAATCTTCCTTTTGGAGGCCATCGCTAGTAGGTTGGAGGCCGTCGCTGGGGTGTTGATGTCGACCTGGCAGAAACCTTCACGTTGAGGGACGGGGAACACTAGCGATTTTGTGATTAGGGCCCGTTTCCTGGAGTTCTGGCTCGTGTAAAGCTATGTAAAGCTTGCCTCGCCAAAGCTGCGCAATACAGGTGAGCTGCCTACCAAAATCCGGTCCTTGGTGCACACGAGACGAGTCCGTTTAGGCCTTCTCCTGCTCTTGCGATGTTGCTTCAAGCAGCGGCAAGTGAACGCCTGAGTTCGGAGAGTTCGACGGGGAGTAGATGACGATCGTGAAATGGGAGTCCAAGAAGCACCGCTGGTGATTGCATGTTCCAAAAAGCACCTGCTCTCTGAAATCTACTAGTAAGGCACTTGATACTAGAAGCGATGCCCTTGTTACTAGTAGCTTATTGTTTCTAATAGCTTCTTGTTACTACTAGTAAGGCACTTGTTACTAGTAGCGAGGCACTTGTTACTAGAAGATGAATTTCTGAAGACAGTTAGGTCAGAATTTCTGGATCCGTTGATCGTAGACGAAGTGTTGCATCGAATTTGAGACACTCTCTCGCACGACTGACTGGGACAGGCACGAGAGGTGTCTCCGGAAGAGCTTCAGGCTCGGGTCACAAGATTTCTCGGAAAAGAACTAGTAGAATCCTTGCTCCTAGTAGCGATGCCCGGGTTCCTAGTAGTGATGCCAGGAG